ACCGCCCGGCTGTTGTTGTTTTAACATTTATCTATTGTGTGTATGTATGTATGTGGACACGCATGTAGCACAGCACTTGTGTGGAGGTCAGAAGATAACTTTGCAAAAGTTAGTTTCTCCTTTCCCCATGTGGGTTCTAGGGACTGGGCTCAGATTGTCAGGCTTGGCAGCATGGGCCTCCTACCTGCTGAGCCATCTCACCCACCCAGACATTTTCTATGGCCTTCGGAGTTACAGGTATTGGAAAGGGAAGGAACCCCAGCACATACTTCACTTTCCCAAATGTGTAATTGGGAAAGGCAGCCACTGAGACTTTCATTTCCTCATAAATTCAACAAAGGCAATGCTGAGAGGTACAACAGACTCTTCAAGCAACTTAAAATTCCAGCCCAGGAGCCAGGGCTGCAGTTCAGCTGGTTAGAGTGCTCGTCTCCCATGCTCGAAGCCCTGGGTTCCATCCCCAGTACTGTGTAGTAGGTAAGGTGGTGTGTGACAGGATCCCAGTACTGTGTAATAGGTATGGTGATGTGTGACAGGGATCCCAGCACTTGGGAGATGGAGGCAGAGGAATCAGGTGTTTCAGGATCTTCCTCAGCTACACAGCAAGTTTGAAGACAGCCTGGGCTACAGGACCCTGTCTCAAAATAAAATTCCAATCCAACAAATGGATCTCTAGGTTTCAGTGCTGCTCCAAGCTTAGCCTATCTTGTAAGTTTCCCATTGTTCCTTCATCTCATGGGGTGCAGAGCAGATTGAGGGTACATGGTTTCCTGACCTGCTTTCCAGAAATTGTTCCTTGGACTAGGTGGCTGTTTTTCTGACATGGGGTCTGTTTGAGCTTATAGTTCCATTAAAACAAAACAAAAACTGTTGGATGGAGCCAGGCTTTCTGTTTTGTTGGTGATTTCATTAGTTTACAAGGTGGAGACTCACATTTCCACATAAGTCATTTTGTTTCTCCCGAGCATGGCAGAGGTAGACTCCCATCTCCACCCATATGGGATATCAACTGGAAAGGGTTACCCACTCCCATATTCCACTAGCCTGGAAGCTCCCCACTGCTGCTGATGTCACTTAAAATCACTCCATTGCCCCCTTGGTAGTGTATAAAAAGTCCATAAGAACAAATCTTGGAGTGGCTGGGTATTGACCCAGAGCCCTCCGGAAGCTATCCTGTGTCTGTCTTTCTCATCTCTGCCTATATTTCTATGTAGTATTTCCTCATTCCTCTCTCCTCCCCCTAAGAACCTTTAGACAGGTCGGAGCTGGACTCAGACAGGAACCCATATGATGGAAAGAGAGAACTGACTCCTGCAAGTTGTCCTTTGCCATCCATACATGATGCAGCACATGTGTAAAAACATGCACACACACTCTAAATAAATAAATCAAATAAATTCTTAATGTGGTCCAAGTGCAGATGTGGTGATGCACTTCTGTAATCCTAGCACTTTAGAAGTGGAGGCAGGAGGATCAGGAGTTCAAAGCCAACCTCAGCTACATAGTTTTTTGTTTTGTTTTGTTTTTTAGGTCAGTCTAAGATACATAAGATCCTGGAGAGAGAGAGAAGAAAGAGAAATGTGAAGAAGGGTGGGCAGAAGACAGTCGGTTTAACTCAGTTTCCTGAGTGAGAGTGTTAGTTATAATTGTGCACATAATCATTGATTTGCGCTTCAACTTTCAGAGATAGTCTTTAGAAACAGATAAAGCTCATTTTCAGCTGTCTTTGTCAAAGTTCTTTTGCTGTGACAAGATTCCATGACCACAGCAACTCTTGAAAACATTTCATCGGGGCTGGCTTGCAGCTCAGAGATTTAGTCCATTGTCATCATGGTAGGAAGCATGGCAGTGTACAGGCAGCTATGGAGCTGGAGAAGGAGCTGAGAGTTCTACATCCAGATCTGCAGGCAGCAGGAAGAGAGAGAAATACTGGGCCTGGCTAGGGCATTTGAAACCTCAAAGCCTATCCCCAGTGACACATTTTCTCCAAAAGCCACACCTCCTAATAGTACCACTCCCTATGAGCTTTTGAGGCAATTTTCTTTCAAACTACATCCGCCTTTCATAAATAATTTCATGAGTATAATGAGGAGGAACATTATGGATTATCTGGAGGTACTTGATGCTTCCATGAGTCTGTTCTGTTGTACAGCATTCCCTGGGCACAGGTTGTTTACTGCTCAAACCCAGCGAGATCTCTCAATTAGAAGATGTGGGAGCATTGCAGAGAAGAGACCACCAAGGTGAGTATGAAAGGAACTGCTTAGGATGCTGTTGATCTTAAAAGAATGAATTTATTTATTGAGAAAATAGGGTGCCTTTAGCTTTTCATCCTCATTCACATTTTGTCCATGAAAACATTCCTGTCTTTCTTGCAAGACAAGGTCTCACCGAATGGCCATAAACTCTCTATGTAGACCAAGCAGGCCTGAGATGTGGTGAGCGGCCCCCACACCCACCGTCTCAGGCCCATGCCCGCACAGGGCTGGCTGCCTGCCCTGGTTGCCGCCACATGCATAGTGGGCAGCTAACCTAATGGTTAAACTACAGCCCTTTAAGACATACAGGTTAAGGTCTTCTGCAGAACCTGCTTTAGTGAGACACCTGCTGGCCGAACAGCGCTACTACACCCAAAAATCATTACAAGAACCGAAACACCAGCAACCAAGGATTTCATTCAAGGTAAAAGTACTTGATAATTTTACACCTTAAAACCAATTAATAAATAAACAAGATAATAAAAATTTATTTACAAATTTTGAATATTATTTCTCACAACATTGTGGAAAAATATTACTTCACAAGAATTTGAAAACTTTTTTGCTTGCTTGTATGATGAATGAATTTTTACAGGACATATATGACCTTCCTGGGATGTACATGATATACACCATTTTAGTGTTTAGCATAATAATTCACATAGCATTGGAGAACTGGTTTAATAATAATAACAAAGATGAGTCATTACTGAGACTGATACAGGCTTTACAAGGTAGCAATAAAGACTTAAATAAAAAGATTATTTCTCTGGAATCTAAAAACCAGGCATTACAAAGTAGTAATAAAGACTTAAATAAGAGGATCCTTTATTTGGAATCTGCTAATTTACTACAAGAACTTTAGTCTATTAATAATAAATGTACAACCAGATTTGATTTTATTGATAATAAACATGAATACTTAGTGGATAAAACAATAACTCTCCAGAGTGATGTTGCCACTACTTTATACTTTATAAGGAAGAAAGATTATCATTAACTGATAAAATAAGGTCTATGGAATCATGTGTGTTAGAAGAATATAAAAGTTTGCATAATTCAATGAAATTTCTAGAATCCGTTACAACAGAGGAGGTTCACTCAATGCATGTTACCATAGGTGCTCAGTTGCAAGCTCTGGGCATAACTCTCAGTAAAGATGACAAAGGAGCTAATAGGCAGAAGGGGAAAATCATACAAGTCATAACATCTCCAGATGACTCTCATAAAATAGCTCATCCTGTCATCATCCATGAGAAGCCAGCAGATGACAGACAGCCTGAGCCATATGTGGAATATATGTTGCAAGCTATTCCCATGAGAGATTTAAAAACCATTAAGGAAGTGGTGGTCACAAATAGCATACACTCAACATATGTAAGACAGATGTTAAATGCACGGTCTTCCACAAATAGAATCATACCAGATGGTTGGAATCTGTTAATCTCAGATGCTCTAGAATATAGCCAGCAGTTACAATGGGAAATCTGGTTGAGAGAGGAAGCTAGAAGTCTAGAGAAGCAGGGTAAAATCAGAGGTTTTGAGATCTCCCAAGATCAAATTCTTGGTGAAGGACATTTTGCTGATAGAAATTTAGAAGATACTTTTGGTGAGCATACAGTATCCTTATGCTGTACAGCAGCCCAAATGCTTGGGGAAAATTCCAGAACCAAGAAAACCAATTGAGCAATACACAAAAATTTTCCAAGGCCCACAGATTTTTTTTTTTTTACTGATTTTTTGCAAAGGCTGATTACAGTTATAAAAAATCCAGTGTCAAAGAACTAAAACAAGTATTAACTGAGTCCTTGGCATTTAACAATGCTAATGGAGAATGCAAAAGAATACTTACGCCATTAAAGGTCAGGTCAGCACCTTTGGAAGAATGGATTCAATATATTAATGGTGTTGAGTCTCTAAACTGTGGTAATGAGTCTTGGATAGGAGAGGGAATTTCCAGAAGTGGAAGGAGGCCTCAAGGTACCAAATGTTTTAACTGTGGTACAACAGGTCATATAAATAGAAACTGTACATAGGGTGCTCCTAGAAGCAATACTCCTCTAGAAATAACCCAAATGGGAGACCTCAACCTTCTGGATTATGTACAAGATACAGCAAAGGCCAGCATTGGACCAATGAATGCAGATCAACAATAGATATACGAGGCAACTTTTTATTATCAAGAAACTCCTCAGAGGAACTCCTGCCAGCCCCCAAATCAAACATAGTCCAAACATTTCCAGCCACTGTGGAGGAAATTCCTCTTCAGAACAATTAAACAATCCATTGTCTAATGTAAAGAATGATACTGCACTGGATAATAAAACAGCTCTGATAGCTAAATCAAAAGTTCCAAAGAATACAATAAAATGAATATTTTGGCAGACTTCCATAAATAAAGACCAAAACGTGGACTTTGAATTAATGGCATTGTTCTAGAGGGCCTAGTAGACACAGGTGCAGATGTGACTATATTTACACCAAAATCATGGCATCCAAATTGGCCTCTTCAAGAGGTAGATGTCCAATTTCTAGGGATTGGAACCCTATCTCAGGTAAAACAATGAGACGGGTTGAATGCATAGGACCAGAAGGACAGAGAGGAAGGCTGAAGCCATATGTGGCAAATGTAGCAGATCTGTTATACCTGTGGAATACCCAGATTTAAATTCCTACAATCTCAGAAAGGGAATATAGACCAATACATGTTTCTAGGAATAGTATTATAACATACCATAAAAAAAAAAAACAACCACCAACCATTCAGGCTGTACATAAACAGAGCACGACTGCTGTTGAACTCTCAGAAGTACCAACAGCCCTACCTTTAAAATGGCTAACTGATAAACCTGTCCAGGTTGGACAATGGCTTTTGACAAAAGAGAAGCTACAAGCTTTAGAACAGCTTTCAAGAGCAGTTGAATGCTCAACACATTGAAGAATCTACCAGCCCTTGGAATTCTCCTATACTTGTTATTTTAAAATAGACTGGTAATTGGAGAATGCTAACAGATCTGAGAACCATTGATAAAGTAATTCAACCTATGGGCTCTCTACAGAATGGGCTACCCTTGTCCTCTCTGCTACCCAAAGAATGGCCTATTATAGTTATTGTCTTAAAAGGCTGTTTCTTAGCCAGGCGGTGGTGGCGCACGCCTTTAATCCCAGCACTTGGGAGGCAGAGGCAGGCAGATCTCTGTGAGTTCGAGGCCAGCTTGGACTATCAAGCGAGTTCCAGGAAAGGCGCAAAGCTACAGAGAAACCCTGTCTTGAAAAACAAAACAAAACAAAACAAAACAAAAAGACTGTTTCTTTACCATACTTTTACAAGAAAAGGATAGAGAAAATTTTGCATTCACAGCACCTAATTATAACAATTCTCAGCCAGTCAAGAGATATCATGGGAGGTCCTCCCACAGGGAATATTAAACAGCCCTATCTTGTGTCGATATTTTGTGCAAAAACCATTGGAGATAATTCGTGTGAGATTTCCACAATCCATAATTTATCATTATATGGATATCTTATTAGCTGATCCAACATTAGGTACCTTAGAAAGCATGTTTGAAGAAGAAAAGAAAGTTTTGCCTCACTGGAGACTACAAATTGCTCTTGGAAAAAAACACAAAGAGGAGATTCTATTAATTAGTTAGGATATAAGATAAAGCTACAAAAAATTAGACCCCAAAAGGTACAACTCAGGAGAGATCAATTGCGGACTCTTAATGATTTTCAAAAATTGTTAAGAAGCATTTCCAACTTACAGGCTATAATTGGAGTACCTAAAGATGGACTAATAAATTTGGCCAATACCCTAAAAGGGGACAAGGACTTAAATAGTCCAAGAGAATTATCGGCCTAATCTGAGAAGGAATTGGCTCTAGTAGAAAAGAAAATACAAAAAGTGCATGTGGATCATGTAAATCTAGAACTTAAATACATTCTGGCAATACTCCCCTCCAAAAACTCCCCCACAGGGATTTTGATGCAGAGGGAAGATTATATATATATATATATATATATATATATATATATATTTATATATATATATATATATATGTATATATATATGTCTCGGTGTGTAATATATATACCACATATATATACATATATATGTGATATATATGTATATATATATAATTTATTTAATGCTGAATGCAGTTTATTGAAGGAGGGAGGAGGTCTTAAATACAGGCTTACAGCACAATGGGGAGAACCCCAGAGGACAGAAGTTCGCTACCAGTGTTTTACAGTCTTGCATCTAAGTTGTTAAAGCCCATTATGCAGGATAGACAGACAAGGAGGGAAGATGTTATATTGGAATGGCTATTTCTACCATGTAAATTAAGTAAGAAGTTAAAGACGTATGTGGAAAAGATCTCTGATTTGATTCTAAAAGGAAAATTAAGACTTTGCCAGTTAACAGAAATGGACCAAGCAGAAATTGTAGTACCTTTAACTAATGAG